TTCCTTATCTCTAACTCCTAGCCTTCTCTTTCCTTTTTTTTCCTTCCATTCACAGCGAAGAAGACGGCGGGCCGGCCGGCGGCGCGGGGGGCCGCGCGGCGGCGGCCGGCCAGCACGGAGGGGAGGAGGCAGTGGCCGGCCGGCTTTTTTTTTTTTACAATTTATGATTTATCCTGTGATATATTTGATTTGTGTGTGATGTGAATCTGTGATATATTTTTTAGAACTTGTGATGTAATTTTTTTAAGAGTTTGTGATGTATTTGGAGATATCTATTTGAGGATTTGGAGATGTTCTGTGATATGTGATGATTTGGATTTGGGATTTCTTGGCATGATTAGGGGATGGTGTGAAATCAATATTCAATGCTAAAAACAATGAAAAAGAGGAAAAAAAGAAAAAATATATTTATTCCCGGTTGGTGACTAAAATGCTCCATCTTTAATCCCGGTTGGTAACACCAACCGGGACTAAAGATTGATCTTTAGTCCCGGTTATTTGAACCAGGATTAAAGATAGCGATCTTTAGTCCCGGATTCGTAGTCCCGATTAAAAAACCGGGACTACAGGAGGTTACGAACTGGGACTTAAAAAGCACTTCTTCACCAGTGTAAGAGTATAAGACAGGAGGAAGCTTTCATAAATGATAGTGGCGGCTTGTACCATCCTCGTTAGTAATTTTAAATAAAAAATATAGGATTAGCAAGATATATCGAGGGACGAAGAAGCAAATTAATATGTTGACATGTAGGTTGTGTTTTTTTTATGGGTACAAGGTCACTTAAGTATCGATATGGAAGGAGATTACATCAATGCCAAAAAGGCTATGTACAAGACAAAAACAGGGATCTTAATTAGGTGATATCTTCCAATATGGTTAGTTGCTCCCGCTTTTGACCCAAGCTATGTCCGCTTTTGATCCTTGTATCTCTTGCACCGGCCATTGTTCCAAACTACTAGGATGATGAGGGATTTTAATTTATGGACTTCTTGGGGATGCCTGGCGTTGAGAATAGCTGCTGCCACCATTCCTCCCCAGTCCCCACCACATCTCGTTCTCCCCATTGCTGTATACACAGGTTGTATTTTTTTTAGTTTTGTTATTGTTTATTATTGATTGGTATGTTGATGTCATCTCTCTTCTTCACTCATATGAATTTTATGTAGACGCCTCATCATCTAATTAAAACATCCACTACTAGAGAATTGATGTTTACTCGGATGGCAAAAATCATATTAGTCCCGATTCAAAAGCCTAGGGGTACTTTTTGATCTTTAGTTCCAGTTTTTTTTCGAGGGGACAGGCAGAGAGTTCCTGTAATTCATTATAGAAGAAGAGAGTTGATCCCGTTTATAAGGAAAACCGGACCAAAAACCTTATAACATCATGATTAATTAAAGGAAAACCGACAAAAACCCTAACATTAATTGACGTACTGATCCTAGGAGCAACAGTCCAACAAGGAAAAAACTCCTAAAACGAAGTCTTCAAGAAGGGTACGCCGACAGAATGACGACATCGTCCGATCCTAACGAATCTAAGGTTTTCACCGGGAGAAACTCCTTAAAGTGGTGCTGAATGTGGGCTCCAATAGCAATGCCTTCAAGAAGGTGAACGACGCCCGAGGGCGTCGCCGTTGCTAGCACTGGAAGCGGAGCAAGGCTTTCGCCTCGGAGCCCTCAAAAACCATAGCATCCACAGCGGAAGGCACCAAATGTCACCTGCACACCGAAGGTACCTGTACTATGCACACCACCTACACAACGACCGGATTCCATGCCACCCCGACCCGACTGAGGACACGCCAGATCTAGAGCCAGATCCGACCATCCTCCTCACCACCACCACCGGCCACGCCAGCCGTGGGGCAGGCCGTCTGCCGTGCCGCCACCAGATCCTGGCGCGTTGCCGCCGGATCCACGGACTCCACCCCTGCCGCCCCTGCCATCGTCGCCATCCCCACCGCCATTGGCCACAAACCCCCCTCCCCCCCCGTGCCACTCACCCCGACCATCGTCGTCGCCAACCCCTTAGTCGTTGTCTTCCCCATCACCAACCACCGTCACCATCCCGATCTAGCGGTCCCCACTGCTACCGCCCAGGTGGGTTCCCCAGCCGCCTGAGCTTGTGAAGCGCGAAGCCCCGCCGCCGTCGTCCTTGCAGCCGCGCGGCTTTGCCGGCGGCCGCTCGGGCGGCGGCGAGGCAGAGGAGGGAGGTGGGAGAGAGGGGGCGGCCGGGTCGTCGCCTCCCGAGCCGCCCAATGGGAGAGCGACGCGAGAGGAAGGGCACGAATATTGGTATCACCAATCGGGGCTAAATATCTCTCTCCACGTCATCGACATATCTCACTCTCTCTCTTCCTTATCTCCTCGGCATCGGCAGCCGCACACACGCCTTCTTATAATTCACTCGTCCTCCTTATCTTCTCCTCCTCCTCCCTCTACGTCGGCCCGCAGCGGACAGCGGGCGGCAGCGCCCTCCCCTCCGCTGGAGGGGAGGTGGCAAGCGGTGGCCCACGGCTCGCCGAGCCACCAGGGCCCCTCCTCCTCCTCCACTCCTCCCTCTACGTCGGCCAGCAGCGGGCGGCGGGCAGCGGCAGGAGGAAGAACAAACATTGATGTTCATTATTTCTTTTTTTGAGAATTTGTGATGTATTTGAAATTTGATGTTATCTGTGATATGTGAATCTTTGGTTTGGAGATGTAGGGAACAACTTGATTTAGGGAAATCAATATGCAGGCAATAAAAAACAAAGAAAAAAAAATCTTTAGTTCAAGTTGGTAGGCATCTTTAGCCCCGGATTAGACGTCCCAATTTACAACCCCGGATTAAAGGGGTTGCAAACCGGGACTAAAGACGAGTTCCCCAGCAGTGCACCTTGGTTTAGATCATATTAACCTCTTCAAGGCCGGCGCCTGAACAGTGCGCTATGGTAATTTTACGAAAAAGCCCTTCAGTTTATGGGCAATTCGATCTAGGTCTCTCGTATATTGATAAAACATGGACGATTTTAAGAGTCTAGGTACCGAAAGAAATTAAACTGTGTTTCGTGGTGAAAGGGACCAAACTAAGGTCATAGTTGAGTGGACCGATCGAATACTGGCCTCTCTCGGGCAGCAAGTAGATTTGGTAAGGAATACGTACCTGAAAATCTTCCTTCACATGCAACGATCGGAACCAGTATGCAGCGTCCTTGTCAGCTTCAGAGCAAGAATAATAGTGGGCTATAAGCAAGTTATATGCTTATGTGGAAAAAAGAGATAAATAAAAGTGGTGAGTGTTGTCTCTCATGAAAGAGCTAACTACACACAAGTTCCAAGAAATATACATTAAATTCATAGTAATAAAAAGAGGGAGAATGAAGAAAATAAAGATAACCTTATAGCCAACCTACTATACATGTTAGCTTTAATATTGACTAATACTCCCTTCTTCCCTAAATGTTTAACACCGTTGACTTTTTTAAACATGTTTGACCATTCGTTTTATTCAAAAACTTTTGTGATATGTGTAAAACTATATGTATACATAAAAATATATTTAACAATAAATCAAATGATAGAAAAAGAATTAACAATTACTTAAATTTTTTGAATAAGACGAACGGTTAAACATTTTTTAAAAAGTCAACGGTGTCAAATATTTTAGGATGGAGGTAGTAATAAGTAGTGAGCTCTATTATTAAACTTGTTCTTAGTTATCTCGGATGGAGATCAATTATGACGATACCGATGTACGTACTCTTCTTGGGCGCATACGTCTACGTCATACGTGGCTGCGCCATGCATGCGGGCATCATAATATATGAGCATTATATATGCCGCAAAAATTCGCATACCAACCAGCAACAAACCCTCGACCGCGCCACGCGATACCCTGTTGGTCGCACTCGCACCACCCTGGTCAGGTAGTAGTACTCTCCGGCCCGCCCGGGTCCAGCGCATGAAGCCAAACGAAAAGGAGAGATCAGAGACCAACCGTGGGCGGGGCTAGCTAGCACGCGGCGCGACTATGTGCAATGCGTGTAGTACTCCGTTTGTCACAAGATGGACGGACATGCATGGATCGATATACCCCGCGTCCGGCTGCCAGCTGCATGCCACGGCGCGCGCGAGATATGTATGCAAGCATTTTACTTACTGATCCAGTACGTCTTTTACTTGCCCCGCCCCGGTCGCATGCGGCATGCATGCATTCATACGCATGTGCCGCTCTGCCTCTCCATACAGTGCATGCACCCCCCCCCCCCCCCCCTTCTCCTGTGTTCATGCATGCATGCTCGCCCGCCGAGGGCCCGGTTGTCAGCATGCCGGCCGTAATAATCAACTGATCTCTACACGTACGGCCACGAACGGCACGACATAGCAAGCCGAGAGCTCTCTTGATCATTGCGCCCAGGAACACGACCCAGTACAGGTACGGGCTGTTTGGTTGGTGGCCTCGGTTTGCCACACCAAACCTTAGGCGCGCCATAATTTTTCAGGCTAGTGTTTATTTGCGTGTCGCAGTTAAGTCAAGCCATACTTTACTAGCACATTGGCCCACGCGTCATACTCTTATTTGCTACCCAAAGTCTGTCATAGTTATGGCTAACAAATTATTGGCCACACTTTGTGTGGCTTGCCACAGTTATGGCAAATCGAGTTATACATATAGCCTCCATCCAAACAGCAGTAGCTCCGTGTAACACTCTCGAGCGGGTGCGGGCGTGGCGATCGATCGAACGGCAAACCAGGCGTGTCCCGTGTCCGTCCGTGGAGAGGGGAGGGGAGGGAGAGGGAGACCGGGCGCATCGCGCCACAGTTTGGCCGGGGCGCGTGGGCGATCCCCACCACTCATTCCCCTTTTCAGTCACGAACAGTGTCCGCGAGATGCGGCCCACGCTGGCTACTGTTGCGCGGGGACATGCAGAGCCCGGCCGGTAGAGCAATACGTACTATACTTTGCCTGCATATGCCCCCATCTCGCTAATACACACTAGCCACCCAGGGCTCTCTCACACAGTCTCTCTCTCTCTCTCTCTCTCTCTCTCTCTCTCTCTCTCTCTTTCTATCTTTCTCTAGCTAGCTATCTAGTGGATCTCTTTCCCATCTCGCGCGCCCCCATAGCCCTTTTGTCCAGGGCCAATATATCCTCCGGCCACGCTCATGCTGCCTCCTCGCCACCTCTGCCTTTCCCTCTTTGCTCGCGGCAAAATCCACATGCAGTTGTAGACTTGTAGTAGTAGTTAGTTGTGGTTGTTTGTTGTTTTGGCTTTCAAATCAGGAACAACGACAGATCCGAGGCTTTCTCGAATCGGGCAGGTCCATCAAATCGGAAGCCAGCCAGCCATCTAATCACCTCATCACATCAAAGGGGACCAAAAGGATATCTCTGGTGGCTACCCCCTCTCCTCCGGCCACTCGTGTAAAATTTCCCTTCTGATCCTGCGCTGTGCCAGATTATAAGGCCATTGCGTAGCTCGATCGAAGAAAGAAGCAGGCCAGCCACAGTACTGCCTCTCTTGTCGATCGATCGACAGCCACAGCCTGCAGGTGTGGGGATTCGGCTGGCCGTCGCCTTCGTCTTCGTCTTCGTCGTCGTCCTCATCATGTCGTCCTCGTCCTCGTCGTCGGCTGTCTTCCCACTGGACCACCTCGCGGCGCCGTCCCCCACCGAGCAGCTCTGCTACGTGCACTGCAACTGCTGCGACACCATCCTCGCCGTACGTGCTGTGGCGCCGATCGAGCTAGCCACCTACCTACCGACAGCGTGCTAGCTTCAGAGCTTCTTAGCATTAATTCTTCGTTTGTTAGTTCGTTTCTTGTTTTGATCGATCTTTTGTTTCTCTTGATGCATGACTAACCTGTGAGTCCCCGTGCCCAACTTCGATCTCCACGCAGGTCGGCGTGCCGTGCAGCAGCCTGTTCAAGACGGTGACGGTGCGGTGCGGCCACTGCGCCAACCTGCTCTCCGTCAACCTCCGCGGCCTCCTGCTCCCTGCGCCGGCGCCGGCGCCGGCCAACCAGCTCCACTTCGGCCCTTCCTTGCTCTCCCCCACCTCCCCCCATGGCCTCTTGGTATGTACCCACCTAACTTGCTCTATATATCTCTCTCAAATCCTCCCATGCTAGCTCTCACGTTTTAGTGAGGTGCTCAGCTGAGAATCATACATTATATTCATACTGACGTTTAGCTCTCATGGGTGTGACTGTGTAATTTCCGGTGTAGGACGAGGTGGCGTTCCAGACGCCGAGCCTACTGATGGAGCAGGCCGCGAGCGCCAGCCTGAGCAGCATCACGGGCCGCAGCAGCAGCAGCTGCGCCAGCAACGCGCCGGCAATGCAAATGCCTCCGGCGAAGCCTGTGCAGCAAGAGCCTGAGCTGCCAAAGAACGCCCCGGCGTCCGCGAACAGGCGTAAGTACAGTACTACTACTACAAGCTTGGTGTTCTTTCTTTGAAACGCTAGAATTTTGTAGTCAAAGGTACTTATGCACCACAGTGTGTTCTCCTGCTAGCTTGTTGCTTATTCACCGTTGTTTGGGAGGTTTAAGAACAGAAAGCTTGCTAAGAGGGGTTAATTAGCTACTTATAGCTCCTACTTAGGCATATATGCACACATTAGCGTACTAGTGTACGTGTTGAATTTCAAATTTCAATCCAGTGTTTCTTTCGAGTGTGTGAAATTAATATGTACTATATTCACTTGAAGAACGCTCCTCAGCACTAGAAATGATAGTACAGATCAACAAGGCATGCGATCATGTCTTGTTGTGGCAGGGCCATGTAAGCCCATGCTTCGATCGATCCGGTCAGTATTTGCAGACAGCATGTATACTGATAGCTTAGGTGAGCTTACCCATTTGTCCATGTTTCCTCGGATGCTGTCTGATCCAAAACTTTTGCAGCTCCGGAGAAGCGTCAGAGAGTCCCATCTGCGTACAACCGGTTCATCAAGTAAGATTTCTCTATAAACCTTCTGCCTAATTAAAACTGATGGATCCTCCTTTGAGCTTTGGTTAATCAGTATTCGTGGTATCATCTCGTAAAAAAAATTAATTCTGCTTATAATGAATTGCTACACAGGGATGAGATCCAGCGGATCAAGGCCGGCAACCCGGACATCAGCCACCGGGAGGCGTTCAGTGCAGCCGCAAAGAATGTAAACTTTCTTCGTCTGATCCGCGCATTAATGAACTCCTACTCATCCTGTAGTATCTAGCTTGATGCTAGCTGTTCGCGTGTCTTGATTTGACTGGACACCTTACATTGTCAGCACGGACACAGCGGCAGCTTGTGCCCGGCCGCTTGCGAGATGCCGAGAGCAAGCGGCTGTGGTTTCTGGGAGCTTTTAGCCCCACAGCTGCTATAGCTAGGGTTCGTTCGGATTTGTTTCGATCTCCTTTACTGATCCAAACCTGCCTTTGCTTTGGCTTTACTTTCCTTGTGCTTGCAATCAGTGGGCCCATTTCCCTCACATCCATTTTGGCCTCATGCCGGATCAGGGGTTCAAGAAGACCTTCAAGCCTCAGGTAACCAGAATCCCGAGAGAATTAACGTATACTACTATGGGAGACACAAGCATAACCTAGTTATCTGTGTAACCTGAACACTCATATAGCCTTATCAGAATTCAGACCCACCCGGCAAACACTGCATATGCACTGCTCTTATTTACTTTAGTGCTTTGCGAGCAATTCATCTGTAGCCGCTTCCTGTGTCGTGATTTTCAGGATGGTTCTGAAGACATTCTTCTCAAGGATAGCCTGTATGCTGCGGCAGCCGCCGCCGCCGCTGCAGCCGCAAACATGGGCGTCACTCCGTTCTAGCGAGCTTTGGCAAAGCGGCCGCAAGCACCGAATTCTTGGTGGTGGCCCTAGCTCGCTCTCATGTGTGGCGCCATTCTAGCTATATAGCAAGGGTTTAATTAGCATCAGATCATCATCTCTTAATATCATGTGTGTTGCTTAATTAGAGTACTTCTGAGTGTGTAGAAGAGAGATGGGGAATCCTGTTGAGTGCCTAGGTTTATGCTTATAACCATATTCCTCGTAGAGACTTTTTTCCCTGTTTTTCTCTTTTCTTTTCCTTCTTTATTTTTTTATCCTTTCTTTCTTTCAGGACTATCTTCGTACTCCCTATTCACCTGTAGAGTGTAGAGAAGTTGCTGTTCCGTTGCCTGATTGTGTCCCAAAAGACGTGTCTTAATTACGAACTCATGAACATCATCTAGCAATATAAATTCTAGAAACCCATGCATGCATGCGTTGCTTTCTTTAATATTTCATGTGCTTTTCTTCAATAGAAAATGTTTTGGGTTTTTATCACCATACATTCGTTATGAGATTAAGTGCTTAGTGCTAAGATTTTGGCAAATAAATTTGTAAAATTTCAAAAAGAGAATAATATAACTTCTTTGATTCCTTCAACTAAAAAAAACTTTTACACTCTGTCTATGATAGTTACAAAAATCCCTTGCCAGATATATAATCGACTACCACGACATTGGTTAATTACTATATCTGTTCCTTTATATTTGTCGTCGCTAATATAAGCATTGTTCATATTTAAACTTTGATCATTTATCTTTTTTCTTAAAAAATCTAAATACTTAACTAGATGAATCTTATCAAAGTGTATTACATACTAAACATAAATTTAATTTAAATTTTCATTTATCATAATCTAACCATTTAAAAGTTTTTAGCGGTCCATGATGAGTACGAACAGAGATAAATATAAAGGAATGTATGGAGTAGTTTCATCCTTAAATTGCTAGCTGAAGACACAACAAAATATAAAGGAATGTATGGAGTAGTATTTTGGACCTTGGTACGCAAAGATATTGGTTTAAAATAAATTAATTGAACTTGCATGCCTTAGCTCGAATTATTAAAATATAACGACCTATAATTTAGTTATATGAAAATTTTCGTCAATCTCAATATAAGGATTTGCTAAATTTTCGTCGATCAAAAATCAAGAGAAAAACTTCCAATATTTCGTCCATCGTATAATTACATTACCATTATATTACGTTGTAGTTACATTAGATTTCTTTCAAAATTTTATCGTAGTCCATAAATATATTCATTATTGACCAAATAAAACAATGCACATACTGGTTTGACTTGGCACCCTAATTTTTATAGTATTCTTGATTTCTTCTGATATTTCATCATGATTACTGTGGGTGCGCTCTCAAAATGTGCATCTTAAATTGTTTTGTTCGAAAGTAACGAAAAATCAATGGAGTGTTGTTTTGGTTAGATCTCAGCTTAGCCATGGTGGCTGGATTTTTGACAACGTCTACATCAAAAACTAACCTCTGAAAGTATTTTGACACATCAATGGTGGTAGTAGTGATGCCATCTTCCCAACCCTCTAAATGACTCGTCCATGTTGCATGTGACAACTCACGCTCGCAAACCAGAACCTAGAGGACGACTACGATTGGAGCGGTGATCATCTTAATGTTGTGTATTCTATTTATTGTTTGTTGTTGCTTCAAGAACAGACTGCTTGACCTACAAAGCAAACAATCGTCCCCTTCCACCCTCCGCCTTTGCCTCCGTGCTGCTGCTACTTCAATATAGAAAGGACACAAATAGTTAAAATGGACAATCGTTTGCACATACCCTCTAATTTATTGGTACGGTCATATATATATTTTTTTGAATGAATGCATTATTTTAAAAGTTTTCACGAGATTTAATTTAATTTCTTCAAAAAGAAAACCAATTCCACCTATTTCTTGAAAGTCGTACTACTATGTCTATACTAATATGATTTTCACATGACCCAGTAAAGATCAGTCTCCGGTAATGATATATGTGTATAGTTATTGTATTTCAAGCAAAGTTAAAAAAAGTAATCCATTAAGCAACACTGCCGCAAAGATAGCATACCTCCGATCCATCACCGCCCGGCTAGATACTCCCTTTTTTTTTTCTCTCGCATGGACCGGCCGGTCGGCGGACCCGGGCGTATATACAAAGCCTATTTCTCCGTGCCTTTTTGTCTCCCCACCCAAGATGAGCGTACCGCACAGTCGCACACACCCTCCCTGCCGTAGCGTATATAGGCCCAGAAAGCAAGAGTCGAGAGAAACAGAAAGACGCCGAGACGCGGAGAGGTGCTGGCCGGCGGCCGGCCGCGCGCACGCCCGCACGCGCGCGCGCGCATGTATATGCTGTCTCCGATCCGACGCGACGATGCTCCATCCGATCCGACGCGACGTGTGGAGCTAGCTAGCGCGAGCCGCCCGTACGCGATGTACGCCCGCGCGTGCCGCGGTCAACCGGGATGTGGAGTGGATCGCACAGGATCAGTACTGCTGCTGCTGCTCTTTTATTGCTGCGCGGAGTGTCGGAGCGCTAGACCGAGAGCCCGGCCGGCCCTGAATCACGCTCGGGTGTGACCCCATGAGGTGACTAGTGATACGGTGATGCCGCGAGCTTTGCCTCTTACGGCAAGTACAATAACTTGAAATTACCGGCTAATAGTAAGCTTACGTTGGATTTTATACCTACGTGGTGGAGAGAGAGTACCAAGAGAAAAACATCGTCGATTAATCTGTCGACGATCATGCACGGGCACCAATACACCTAGCACTGGTTTGAAGCCTTTCTATCGACAGCACCATCGACGGAACAAAAAATTAGCATGAATAATCTTTCCTGATTGGCTTGGAGGAAAGAGAAAAGCTGGGAAGGAGCGAGAGAGAAGTAATTAAATAATTATTGATATGTGTGCTGCAGTAAATGTAAAGAGACAACTATTATATTTATTATCTATTAAGTTACCTCCAAATAACGTGTATAAAGATTAGAGTAAGCAGTCGTCTTTTTTATTGCCCTTGCCCTTATCTCCTCTGATCACAACTACCTCGACTGAGTGCGTGCGTGGGCCATCCGTGTGCCTGCCTGCCTCACTGGCCGTCGTCATATGACAAGCAATGTGAATATAGTGCACCGGGCACGGCCTGTTTGCTGCTTGCATTCCCTGCGCGCGGCAATGTATACTGTAGATGACCGTGAAATTCAGCAGTCGATGAAAATCTGAAATACTTCCATCGAGAGCATCGGCTCTGCGCCGGATGGCCAATATCAATCAATCAGCATTTAATTTGACAATTTTACCTTTTGTAAAAACTAATTTCGCAAATAAACCGCGGCCAAAACTACCCTTTTATTTAGCGTCAAATCGTATGGCGCTAAACTTAGACATATCAGCGTCAAATAGCACGGCGTTGAATGCACGTTGGCACGCCGACTCAGCCTCCCATCCGCGGTGGCACAGCATTCAGCGCCAGTTGACGTGATGCTGAGGTGTCTAAGTTCAGCGTCATACGATTTGACGCTTAACAAAAGGGTCATTTTTAAATAAGTTTTGGTCGCGATTCATTTGTGAAATTAGTTTTCGGAGAGGATCAAATTATAAATTTTTGTGAATCAATCAGTCCGTCCTCCATATGTAATCAAGAGCGAGGAAAAAGTACACCGAAGGTCCCTCAACTTATTATCGAGTTATAAAATCATCCCCCAACCGCAAAATCAGATATACGGCGTCCCTTAACTAATCAAAATCGGTCCCAATAGGTCCTTCGGTGGTTTTGACCCCGATTTTGTCCTACGTGACGGCTAAGTCAGCGTGGGACCCATGTGGGGCCCACATGTAAGGATGCCACATCATCCTTCTCTCTCCCCTCTTCTCTTCCTCGATTCCTCCTCTCTCTCTCTCTCTATGTGCCTGTAGGGCGCCGGTCGGCGGGGCGAGGCGGGAGAGGAGGAGGGCGGTGCCGCAATGGCGGCCGGCGGTGACGGCCGCAGTGGGGAAGCACGGCGGCGCGGGCGGGCGACGGGGAGGCACATGCGCCTAGTTGGTGGTGGCAGCAACCGTCGTTGATGCCTGGCACGGAGAAGCCCATCGCCGTCGCGGCGGTGCGCTCAACCGCGGAGGACGGGGTCGAAGAGGTCAGCATGGGCGGAGGATTCTGGCGGGAGGAGGAGGAGGTCCCGGTGGAGGAGCATGGGGAGCACGAGCTGGAGGTGAGATGAGGGGGAGTTCTCGAAGCTGCCGACGCCGAAAAGCGATAGCCGCATGGGGGCGAGGCGACGCGGTGGCGGAGACACGGGAGAAGGGGTGGGCGGCGGCAAGGCGAGGCGGCGTCGGCAGGCGAGCGCGGTGGCAGAGAGGCGGCATCCGCATGGTCGCGGGCGACAAGGAGGCGCGGGCGTCGACGGGGAGACGGGAACGGCGTGGGCGGCGGGGAGGTACGGCCGGCGCGGGTGGCGACCGCCGCGCCACAGCGACGTCTTCACGGCCCACGCCGCCATGATTGTTGCCTTCTTCGTCTTGCTTGGGGCCGCCACCACGCCGCGAGTGCCACCCTGCGCGCGGCTAGGCCGGCCCGCATGGGCGCCACCTCCGCGACCACCTCGGTGCCAGCCCCTCCTTTCCATTACCACCGCCGCGCATAGTCAGCCGACGCTCAGGCGAGCACGGCTGCGAGCTGCGCCGTGGAGGAAGAGGAAGGCGGGTGGACATGGGCATCGGTGAGGAGCTCAAGGAAGGAGAAGGCCGGGAAGGTCGGCGTCGTCTTGTTCCTCTTCTGCCATTCGCCAATTGCATCTAGGGAGAGAAGAGAAGGGGGAAGGAGGCCAGCAACAGCCCCTCTCCGCTGGCGGCCATTGCGAGACAGAAAGAAGAGAAAAGAGTTGGGACTATCATGTGGGAGCCGCTGCTGCCGTGTTGCCCGCCGCCTCCTCCTCTCCTACCTCGCCCTCCTCCCCAGCGCCAGCCGGCTTTGCCCAGAGAACATGAGAAGAGTGAGAGACAGAGGAGGAAGGGAGAGAGAAGGATGACGTGGCATCCTTACATGTGGGCCCCACGTGGGTCCCACGCTGACTCAGCTGCCACGTAAGACAAAACTAGGGTCAAAACCACCGAAGGAGCTATTGTGACCGGTTTTTATTAGTTATGGGACGCCAAATATCTGGTTTTGCAGTTGGGGGACGATTTTGTAACTCGATGATAAGTTGAGGGACCTTCGGTGCACTTTTTCCTCAAGAGCGATACCGGTGGCCTCTAATCGTCCTGTAAACACTAAACGGGCCTTCGGAGAAGGGGCCCATATGCATATTCCATTGGGCCCGAATACGGGGTCTCGCTGGAGAAACGGAACGCGCCCCCACGGGCCATGGCCGCATCACACCAGCCCTCCGGCAGGCCGCAGGCGGGCGGCAGTCCGGCCGGAGTCGTCACGCAACACCGTACTGCGCCTCCTTGGTGCACTGCACCCCGAACGACTTCACGGCTAGCTACGCACTCCAATCCGTACGTGCACGTCTCACTCAACTAACCGATCGAGCAACGGCGGCAGAAGACTGAAGACCCAGCGATCGATCGGGCAGGTAGCACCTGTCCACCACGTACCACACTGTGGCTGGATCGATCTGTCTTGACGTATATACTAAATAGTACCACACCTACGTGTTTTCTTTCCCTTATTTCCGTCGCAGTGGACCGGACCACGACTCGCGGGGAGTTGGGGTGCTGGACGGACTGCTGGTGCGTCGCATTGTTGGACCGTGCGTGTGAGCTAACGCCGCCTATAATTTACCTTTTCTTCCCGAACTAACTGGTACAGTCGCAACTGGATTTTGTATAGGACGACGATTCGTATATGTATAGTGTACAGTACTAACTCCTTATGGGTGGCATGTCGTTGTCGTCACGATGGCTAGTTGACTTGACTTCCTGGTATTCAGAGATATCGTGATACAAATAATAGGAGAAAAACCATTAGCTTATACTCCCTCCGTATTTTAATGAATGATGCCGTTAACTTTTCAACCAACCTTTGACCATTCAGTTTATTCAAAATTTTTATGCAAATATAAAAATATTTATGTCATGCTTAAAGAACATTTGATAATGAATCAAGTCACAATAAAATAAATGATAATTACATAATTTTTTTTAATAAGATGAATGGTTAAATGTTAAACAAAAAGTTAACGGCGTCATACATTAAAATATGGAGGTAGTAATTAATTAAGTTTTAAAAGTGAAAAAGTATTTATTTAATATTTTATAGCAACTTCATGTCTATAAAGTTTTCGCAAGAAAAGTTACATCCTAATTAGAAAACAAAATAGGCTATACAGGTTTTCAAGGTGCTCTATGCCATTGTAGATTTGGGTTGTTTTAGACAATGATTCTTCATGTGTAATAAAAGAACTGGGAGTACTCCTATAATTTGTATGCAGTGTATGGACAACGACAATAGCTAATACGAGTAACCGTGAATGGTGATGTCACAAAATTCTACCAAGAAAAATTTATATTGCCACTGTAGTATATATATGACAATATTTTTTAGCCACTACCAATTATATATTTCCTATATACAGTGATAAAAAAGTGAACAAGCATCCAAAATAGCCAAGAAGATGATAGACATTAATATTTCAAACCCAATAATTCATGTATCAAATAATTCAGAGAAACAAACAACTTACAATTTATTCTAATTTAGTTTATTATTATTCAGCTTATAGCTAGCAATTGGACTTAATAATCTAGAGTATAATAATTTTAAAATGAAACAAAAAGGACCTTATTAGAGGGACTGTCTGACTTACAGGTAGTAGTTGGAAGGAACCACCAAACTTGGAGAACTTGGAAAAGGCTGACGCTGATTTGTGTACACACTTACTGTTTGGATGGGCAACATATGTTATTGATTCTGACGCTGCACCATATCTCTTCTGAAAAGGACAGTAGAGAACCTACTCCTGCCAAGCGTGCCGATTAAATTTCAAAGAGCAGGCTGCACGCCCAAGTTAGCTTGACAAGAGCAGATACAATCATACATTGCACTCTAGAGTCTAGAATTGTCCGAAAGAGTTATATGCTCTCCAAATTATTAGCGCAAAAGAGGTATACAAATCCACTTAAAAAGCATGTCCATGTTATATTGCGAGGAAAGAAAAAACATCTTATGTTCATACTCAAAGTTTCAATATATTGACCGATGACCTATCTAAAACAAGTAATTGTGGAGGAGCTTAGTCAATTTCACCGGACTAAATTGCAGTTGTTCACATCAGATTTGCAACAGGAGTAGATCCGGCTCTCAGTACGTCCGGAGCGATCGTATTCCTCCCACTGGCCATATAATTCTAGCTAGGGATGTAAGTGTATCAAGTTACCAACCCATAAACCCACTTATAAGTAAAATTTAGTGGCCGTAGATTAACTCGTGGATTACCTACTAATTTAATCTATAAATAAGTTTATGGATCGATCACTTATATTTCTAGGTATGATAATAAGCCGGACCATGATATGAAAACCTGTTAATTATCACTTATTTGATATATATATAAGTAGATTCACATGTCGACCCGCTTACATACATTCCGAATGTCTTCCAATCAACGAGCAGTCCTTCCATGTTTGGTTGTGTGACAGCCGCAAGAGGATGACCAAGGATCATAGCCGAGGGTTTGACACGATAGCCACACTGGTAGCTTGGACAATCTAGAAGTAAAGAAACAATCGGCTCTTCAACCAGGAAAGCAGAACCTGGCCGGAGATCGCTAGGGCTATGACGGGTGAAGCGGACCTTTGGTGGATGGCTAGGGCAGCCATACCGGCCATGGTAGTTCCTTCTTTGATAGATGGGTCACCAAATTCCCTAGAAGATTAGGCTTTCTGTTTTTCTTCCCCCCTCCTGTACCCTGTCCTCTTCATTTTTAATTTGTTCGGCCCGTCTTGTACATACATTTATTCTTTCTTAATAAAAATGCGCACCTCGCGTATTCCCAAAAACATGTCGACTCATCGTCTCATAAAAAACCAACCTAGAATTTGAGCATACCTCTGTCTAAATTCATTGTACTATAATATGTCACATCCAGTTCTAGATTCATTTTTTTCGGGACGGGGGAGTACATCCCTACCACACCTTTGACATGTCTTGATCGCGGAGCAAAGCTAAGCAGCCATTGAGCAGAAAAATACGGCCAGAAAGCGTCGATAACGATAAGTAAGCCCAGCTCTCCCCTTTCCCTTTCCTTCTCGCCGCCTCCAGAAAACGAAGACGACGAAGAGAAGAGAAACACAAAGCCTCTCTTATGTTGTTTTTTTGCAGGAGTATTTTTTTTTTGGGTCCCAGAGAGCGACGCGCATTTCGCCGTGTGCCTCTAGTGGCAGCAAGCTGCGCAGCACAGCACACTTGGAGGATTCCCAGCGTTGTGTCGTCCGTCCGTCGCATCGTTTCCCTTCAGGATTAGCATTGCAAGCAGCCAGACAGCAGCGCCTCTCTCTCTCTCTCTCTCTCTCTCTCTCTCTCTCTTCCGTTCCAAAATTCCAACGAGTTCCCCGTTTTGCTCCGCTTCCTCCTCTGCTCCAGGAATAATATTTTGCTGGAGAATAGTCGGATGCAGGAGGCGAAAAAAGATTCGATCTTTGGAGGCCTTGCCTCTGGGGCGCCCGTCGGAGCGGATCGCTTCCCGTTTGATCCTCGGGAGTATTCGCCGGCGATGAGCTCCGACTCCAGGGAGCTGCTCGGGATCGATCCCCCGGAGCTCATCTTCCCCTGTGCGTTTTCTTGTCCCGAGAATTTCTTTTTGGGGGTTTTTTGAAGGGAGTTTTGCAGTTCATTCGGTGGTTCCGATGGATTTCCGGGTGTATTTTAATGCGGCCTCATTCGAGAAATTTATGTATGAAGAAATTTCAGGGTTGTTCTCAGGGGGAATTTTTCCTTCTTTTTTGAGCTAATATTGATTGTTCACTTCACCGATAGTCCGATTTGCCTTTGTTTTAAGCATATTCTTTTGTGCAAATTTTGGTAATTCTTTAATATGTGATGATAATATTGTCTTGTTCAGAATATTCATCCTTTCGCATCCTTTTTTTAATCATGCAGTCGAATTAAAGAAGCAAATCTCGTGTTCTCTGCACCTAACAAACAAGACAGATGAATATGTCACGTTTAAGGTATTAATAAAATCTTTTTGGCCTCTAATTCCGAGGAAATATGCATTGCAGTAATAAGTAACTAAATTAATTCAACATCGTTTCTCCAGGTTAAGACAACTAGTCCAAAGAAGTACTGCGTCCGTCCAAATAACGGCATTGTGGCTCCCCAGTCCACATCCAATGTTCTTGGTAATTTGATGAATTGCGTCAGTATTATCTTATTCTGAATGACTGCCTTTTATGCTAAGAATTTAGTTATCAATTGATTATCAAATCTAGTAACAATGCAAGCTCAGCGGGAGGCGCCACCGGACATGCAATGCAAGGACAAATTCCTTGTGCAGAGTGCCATAGTGACACAAGAGCTCACACCGAAGGATATCACCGGAGACATGGTAACCAACCGACTTTCTAGTTTCTAGTGTGTCCTGCATTTGTAGCTTATGTTGGCTGCTTTCTTTGTGTCCTAATGAGTGATCCTATGTAGTTTACGAAAGAATCAGGTAATGTGGTGGATGAGGTGAAGTTAAAGGTTGTTTATACTCAACCTCACCCGACATCTCTCAATGGCGGGTCTGAGGAAGGTCTAGGAAGCTTGAGTTATCAAGAAGTAAGGCTTTCATCAATTTCATGTCTAACAGCTATCCGCCGTCGTTTCTTGTTAGTGCATTGATCCTTCATTGCCTTATCATCTGAAACAAATTGCGAACTTCTCTTTGCAGGCAACAAAAGGATCTAGAGAATCAGAAACAGTAACCTCTGAGGTATGCATCTTCAGATGGGAAACATCTATGTTTTCTTGTGATAGGTGTCATAATTTAGAGATACTATGTGTGATTTTATCCAAGAGCATTGCTTCAGAAGTTGTTTAATTATATTTTACAGTGTTGCTGTGCTCTTCTTATTTCCTAGTCCTCTGCATGACACTTGTTTTAGAACTCTGATCCAACAGAACTATGTGTGTGCTGTTTTATGCTATGCACTTTGTTTTTTCCCTGAGGAAAACTATGTACTTTTCTTGATATATGTGTTGCAATGTTCTCTTGTTAAATTTGACAATGCTATGTTATCACTAAATCCTAACTTCACATACTACTATAAATTTATTTTTGCTTGTCAATCTTCTTGCTCCACTCTACATGTATGATCTTTTGATTAATGTTCTCCTTGCATAAATCATGGCTCTTCATCTCAACATATTTAGATGCCAATGATAACTTAATCTGAGGGATGCTTCATCCTCTAGCATATCTTGACTTTGTTAGCATTTTACTTTTGTTACAAACTGAGGAACTGAGAGGTCTTCTTATAGAGGATTCCGACTTCCTATGCTACCTGACAATGATGCCAAAGCACAATATGCTGATCTCTTTCACAACTATGTGCAGCCATTGGCCTTGATTTCAAAGTTGAAGGAGGAGAAGAGTTCTGCCATTCAACAGAACATGAAGCTTCGAGAAGAACTGGTTAGCTTGATTATGCAAACATTTAGTGACCCAATATATTTTTTTACTTTGGCAGTAAGAAATAGATTAATTTATCCCCCCGCATAAGCTAGTTAGGTTTAAGCAACAGCTATGTCGATAAATTTGCATCTCCAATAAATAATCACCACATGATTTACTCATTCCCTGTTCTTTTACTGAGGCCAGCAGTGACCAGTCCACCCGAAAAAAACACTAATACGTTTTTTAGCTTTGAGTTAGATAGACAGAATAACCAGTTTACATGCGCTTTATGTTTTTCTTTACTTTTTTGTCAAGTTTATTTGCAACCCACTAATTTCTACAAGTACAGATGTATTTCGTTATCTACAAATATCATCTTGTTTGTCTATTATGGCTTTGTGCATCAATGAAATCTGAATCTAAACTGCAACACTCACGTAGTTTCATTTATCTTCTATTGGAATTGAACAGGATCTTCTAAGGAGGCAAATGGGGAGTCAGCACGGTGGTTTCTCACTAGTTTTTGTGCTGGTTATTGCTATTCTGGGAATCCTGCTTGGTTTTCTCATTAAGAGATGAGCGTCTGTGATCATATATCTTGTTCCACTTTTCTGTGAAAGAGTTGATAGTCGTGGGCCTTGTCTGTTGTGTTAGCCATTTGTACCAACTCATGATCGTCTTATCTTAGGACCTGATTCCTCTTGTAATTTCTGACTATCAAATTCCAATCAGTAGCTACTGCATCCAGTCAATAAGTCGTCTGTCCATTTAGCATGTTTGAGTATAAGTTTTTTTTGGTCAATTGTATTCATCTTTTGACACCTGTAAATATGACACTTCCCTTAACATTATGGCTTGCGATATGTATATGCTGGATCCTTGTGAATCTTATGGAGCAGGATTTTCGTTACTGTTGGTTTTCAATATATATGAACAGTGTTGCTTCAAAATTATGGCCCCAGCTTTTGTCATCTGTATGTGTTTGTTCAATTGGTTAGCTTTATACCAAGAAGGTTTCTGCGGATTGGAATGCGGACAATCTGTATAACAAACAAAACAATGGGTTAAAGCATAAAATGGCCATGCTAAGCTGTCAATTCCTCCATTTCAAAATACTACTTCCGTCCCAATATAAGTGCAGTTGTGGGTTTCAGTATCCAATATTTGACCGTTTGTCTTATTTGAAAAATTTGTGAAAATACTAAAAAAATAGTCACATATTAATTACTATTTATATTTTATCATCTAATAACAACAATAAAAATACTAATTATATATATTTTGTAAGTAAGACGGACGATTAAATATTGGATACGGAAACCGTATCTACACTTATACTGGGACGAAAGTAGTACAAGCATCTCTAGCTTGTCAATTGTCCCTCTGGCTCATTAATTGATGGGACAAGTATTGCTCTCAATAATGCTTACAAATGCTTAGAGCAAAGGCTAATACTAGAGCTTTATAGCATATCTCTGTTTCTGTTTCTAGAGAGCAGGTTGGGAACTTTTGGCTCTAGCACGGAAAACGGAACGATCCATTAGCGCGTGATTAATTAAGTATTAGCTAATTTTTTTTCGAAAATGGAACAATATGATTTTTTTAAGCAACTTTTGTATAGAAACTTTTTATAAAAAACACATCAAAATAGTAGTTTGAAAAGCGTGCGCGCGGAAATCGAGAAGGAGAGGTTGGGAACCATCATACATGGTCCACCTGTCTGTCTCACATATTTTTTTTTTGTTCATGTGCCTAAGCCGGCTGTAAACTTACAGTCCGCTTCTAATATCTCTCCTCTCCTCTCTCATCCAGCTCAGCATTCAGCTTTCTTATAACTCTTTATTATACTTGCTCTTATATTTTTATAGTACAAATTTCAAATGTTATAAACGATTATATTTTAGAACGGATGGAAGGAGTGGCTTTCTATGCTATACCTAGATTTTCCACTTAAAATAGACTAGCCATCCGATTATTGTGTCGAATTATCTATGTTATAGAGAATAAATTAAATATTTTAATAAATAAATTTAACAAATAGAAGAACATTTTTTCACAAAAAACATTATTTTAAAACAAATAAATGGATAACAAGCAGGAACTTAATATTTATTACTAGAGAAAAGAAATGAAGGTGAACACGCAGATCAATACAAATTGGCACGCACACAAGTTGGCGCCTGGGCAGCGACGCCACGAGTAGTCTAAAAAATAACATATGTTTAGAAGCATGGAACATATAATTTGTAACAATAATCCAATGAAGTAGGTAAAAAAAACCATGATCCTAATTGAAGCGGTTGAATATACCTCTATACTCCATCGGTCCCTAAAAACTCTCTTAAGCTTGAAAATTTGTTCATTAAATCCGTTAAATACTACTTGATCTTTTTCTTTTTATTTTAGCCATCGAACCAATGGTACTTCCTGTCACACCCCAATTCGGTACCGTCGTACAACGGCACCTGACAGGAGCGTGTCGTAGGAAAAACGGTGCGAACCGCTTCCTACGAAACCGCAATCTCAGTACCAGTCCTAGGATATAGCGCTGGTACCCACGGTGATAAATATGAATCATTGCAATCCTTAAATTAAATAGAGGACTTATTTACCTTAACTTAGGTTACAGCTCAGAACAGCCCGAGAATACAACCGACGACGCGGACGAGGAAACACCAACAACAACAACAGCAGCAGCGGAACCAACGGTCTAACACCCAACACCACAGGCGAAGGCTGGGAACTAGGATGAAACCCTAATCTTTGCTTCAACTTCATCTTCAGAGCTGGCAGAACTATGTTTATATAGAGAGCAAGGGTGAGTACTTACGTACTCAACAAGCCAGGGGAACTTAGGTGGTTAATGCAAGCTTCAAGGGAAGGCTGTTATTTTTCAATCAGTTTTATTTGCAAGCATTTTGACAATCTAAGTGTGTGCATTCCGCGACCAGAGCAAGACAAGTCTCAACTCGGCCGGGGGTGAGGAGTGAACAATATTATTTTATCAAGATTTGCACAACTCCCAGAGTTGGCCTCAAAGCTGGTTTCCCAAACCAAACCAATTTTCTAGACTTTCAGAGTTTTGGTTGTCTCCAAACAACCAGTCACTTTTAGGGACTCCCTGTCCCGCTGTCTCCCTGACAGCCACTTGCCTTCCAAATATCGGGTTTCCCAAACCTTATCACTTTTTCATAAAACTGGGTAAAACGAAAAACTACGCTAAGGAATCACCTCACATCCGTCCATGACCGTGAGCACGGTTGTTCGAACAGTTTGTTAACCTCTGCAGAGGGGGTACACTTTACCCACATGACATTACTAACCCGGATCACCCAGCCTGTGGGGATCAGCCACGTCGGGAGACCTCCAAGCTTTCATGACAAGGCATTTCCAAAGCCAACACAGGTTTACCATATGCCGACGAGAAGGGTCCCAGACCAACAACAGGTTAGGTCCCAGACCATACTGTGCCAGGAAGCCTAGGGGTCCTCCCCGACACTACCCCGGCGAATCCACTTGTCTCTCGGCATCAAGGCTCCCCTGATTAGCTAATTACTCAGCCAGGGGTGTCCCACTCCACCCATGTGGTTGCACTATTATATGCTCGGATGTAATTATGAAGGAATCGGTCCTTAAATGCGACCGCACAAGCATTCCGCCCAGGAATGGCCTTGTGTCACGATTTTTATTTTTAAATCTCAATTTCTTTCACAAGGCACCGATCCAGGCGTCGGGTTTTCCAATCGTTTTGTAAACCAAGTTTTACCCAAGATGTTTACCATATTTTAAGTTTGACGGCGACCGTCGATACTCGCACCGAGTGCACGAATACCGAGGCTCGACCAGGTGGTTACAAGGAAACATGATATAACAATTTAACAATGGAAGGATCAAATGCAACAAGTTAGGTATGCCCACTGATCTGCCTCGCAGACGGGGCAAACATATTATGTGCAATCCTATCAATGCATAATATTTTGCAAGCAATATAATTAAGTTCAATTATAGGCTCAAGATGTTCAAAGGTGGCTTGCCTTGCTCAGGGTCTTGATCTCACGAATCTTCGAGAAATCCCTGATCGACAAAAATCCGCAACCGCAACTATACGCAAACAATCGAAAACCTAAACAAAAGACCAAAAGAAAGATCCTATTTAGACTAATTAATAGTACCATTAGATAGATCTCAATTTTACGGAATTACTGGAAGTTGAACGGAGTCAATCGAAGCTACGGATTGAGAGATATGAATTTCGGAAGTTTAAATGGAATTTCTAGAATAGAGAAATGGTTTATGGAATTTATAGAAATAATATTCTCAAGAACATTATTGACAGTCACTGACGTGCTGGACCAAAGGAAATGGTTTATGGAATTTTGGAATAAGGAATTGATTTATGGAACAAAGGGAAAAGGTTATATTAAATCCCTTGGAAAAGAAAAGGATAGGAGGGATGTCATTTAGACTTCCTCGGGCGGCTTAGGCGCGGCCCAAGGGGTCATGCGCAGTGCGGTCAGGCCATTGGGCCGGTGCGGGCGCGGGTGATCGGTCCATTAGGGGCGCGTGGGAGGGGGAGTTCGACCGGGTGTACGCGGTCCACCGCGCGGGGTCCCGGGCGGGGCCTGCTTGTCGGCGGCAAGGTTCACGGTGGAAGGGGTGCACGCGGGATGCGACGCTAGGGTTTGGGTGGACGCGGTTTGGGTGGTGCGCCGGTGTGGACGGGAGTGCGGCGGGCCTACTTGCAGCCGCTCGACTTGTCGTGGACCGCGCGCACAGGGGAAAGGGACGGAGGGGGAGGCTGACTGGGCTGCCTTGACTCGGTCTTGCCAAGGTGGCACCGACGTGGCGCCTACGTGGCAGCCACGCGGGCCGCGCGAGAGGAGGAAGATGCACAGGAGCTCCAACCAACGGCGGCTGACGGCGGGGCTTCACCGAAGCACGACGCGGAGATTCGATCGAGAGGGAGTTCACCGGTACAAAGGGGAGCACGAGAGGGGATGAGCCAACGGATCGGATCCTTCGAAGAGGGGCCGGTGACGACGAATCGCGGCGGCGCACGCCGGCGACGAGAAAAGGGGGAAACGGCGGAGGGGCGATGAGGATTCGATTCAAGGCGGTGGGAGTATCTATGGGGCTCGGGGAATCCGTTTCAGGCGCCGGATGGGGAGGAGAGGCACCGAGGAGGGCTGGCGACGGCGGCGGCCCCCGGGAGCGGGCGGCAATGGCGGCGAGGCCATGCCAGGCGGCTGCGGGGCTTGGGGGGGCTTCTACGAACTACCGGAGGGCTATCCGAGCTACTGTGCGAGCTATAGGAGGGAGAGGGTGAGCGAGGAAGAGGAACGGAGGGCTACCGCGTCGGGACAGGGCGCCGTGACGAGCGGCGGCGGCGCGGGAGAGCTCTCCGGCCTCGGGCCGGGGAAGGGGAAGAAGGGATGGCGCCCGGAGTCCTCTTCCGCTCCCCGCGCGCACGCCGGCTTCACCAGCACGCGCGACGGCGACGACGAGAGGTCAAGGCGGCAATGGTGCGGCATGCAGAGGAGGCGAGACAACGAGAGAGGGCGATGGGAGGGGCTCGGGTTTTTATAGCGGAGGCGAGGTCGGTTTAGGGAGGGGGAAACCGACTTGGTGGTCGAGCGCTCGGCTGCAGTCACGAGCGGCGCGAGAACGAGCGACGGCGTAGATGCAAAGGGCGCGGTGGAGGCGGTGGGTTGGACGGCGAGAATCAAATCGCGAGGGCGGGAGGATTTGCGCAGTGTGGCCAAAGTGGGGGCGCAAGCTGCTGCGGCATCATCAGCGGCGCTCTGCCTCTGCGTGCAAAGAGACGAGGACAGGGGGAGAGCGGTCGAGCTCGGGAAGGAAAAAGGGAGGACGAGGCAGTGGAAAGGGGGGGTTTTGCTTTTCCCATTTTGA